GGACTGAGGGTTCCCGGGTTTGATTCCGGTCAAGGGCATGTACCTTGTTTGCAGGCACATCCCCAGTAGGGAGTGTGCAGGAGGCAGCCGATCGATGCTTCTCTCTCATCAATGTTTCTAACTCTCTATCCCTCTCCCTTCCTCTCTGTAAAAAAATCAATAAAATATACTTAAAAAAAAAAAGTGAGTCCTGATCAATGCACAAACTGTGCATCTCAGGCAGGAGTTTACGGGACAGCGCAGTGGGGACTGGAGCGTGAGGTTTCCAGCATGACAGGCCTGACGTGGTGAGGCGGCGCTCTGAAGCCACTCAACGTCTCGCCAAAGTCCATCCCAGGTGAGGCCTGGTGCCCGGGGACCAGGCACCTGACCGTGATGGGCCCCGTGCTGGTGGCACAAAACCCTGCGCAGGAGGCGCCAGCCTTCTGGTGGGACCGCGAAGGGCCCAGGCCAGCGGCGTCTTCCAGACGGAGGCTCTTCCCTCTCCTCCCTTTTGAGGCCCCCATGGCCCTTCCCCTCCCCCGCTGCGCCCCGCACACACTCACTGCAGGCCGCACAGGTGAAGCAGGCGTCGTGGTACAGGTTCCCCATGGCCTGGCAGGCCTGGCCGGCCCCAAACACCCCTTTGCTGCATTTCACACAGGAACCTGCAAGGGCGAGAACACACCGGTGAGTTGGAGGGAAACAGTATAAACTGAGTCAGAAATAGCCAGTGAGCAAAGCCAGATGCTCCTCCCCATCCACAGCATGTCACCCGCCCCCCTGGGTCGCTCTTTGCAATGTTTTCCTCTCTCTCTTTCTCTCTCTCTCTCTCGCCCTGCATCAGCCTTTCAAGGGTCAGTGCTCACACCACAGTGAACTAGGCTTCAGGCCCTACCCACTGCCCTCCGCTCTGCCACAGCTCCATGTTGTCTGCTACTCCCTGCCGGAGCCCCAGAGTCTCCCACCGTCTCTAGCACAGAGTCCAAAACCCTGCACTGTCATGAACACACGCAGAGCGCACGGATGGCAACATCTCAGCTCAATGGTTTCCTTTCAATCTCAGTGGGAACCACGGACTACCATCTACTCTCCTCACTTCTTACAGAAGTGTCCGGCCCGCACCTTCCCAACCTGCCCCCACCCCCCTGTGCTGGGTCTCAGCTCTTAGCCTTGCTCCTGGGCTCCCCTGCCTGGCACCCTGCGCCCACCCTCCATCCCTCCAAGTCCTTCGGGTCTCTCCCTCCCTCCGGCTCTCTGGCTCTGAGCCGAAACGGTGGACCTGTAGTCACAGAGCCGCTCCAACCAGGAACTGTCCACCCACTCACCTCCCACGTGGCTTGAGTTAAGCTCTAAGGTCTCTGAGCATCAGTTCTTAGTTGGAAAGAGGTTCCTCCACCTGCCCTGCACGTTTGCAGGAGCAGCAGCGAAGCCTGCCTGGCACCAAGGGTTCTGAGGAGTCACCTGTCTTGACTACCGCAAGCCAGGAAACACCCGGCCTGGGATGTAATGCCACAATCTACAAGCACCCATACATCGGGGCGAGGGGGCCCCTTCAGGGTCACCGTGAGAGACACAAGTGGTTCCCGCAGGGCCCCTCATTTGGTGGATGCTCGGATAAAAAGGGTGGTGCTAACGTCACTGCACTCAGCAAGGAGTTGCTTCAGCATGAAGGGAGCTCTCCGAGACCTCCCAGGCCCCAGGGCCTCCCCTTGCCCGTCTGTCTGGACCAACCCGAAGCCGCACCACCACAGCCAGGCTCTGGGCTGGTTCCCAGAAAGGAGGCCCTGGAGCCCCTCTTCCAAAGGACTCGCCCCCCCCACCCCGGGCAAGCAAAAAGCTTCACCGATTACGTACAGAATGCAGGACGCGCACACGCGCGCGCGCACACACACACACACACACACACACACACACACATTTCTTTTTTCCAGGGAAATATACCAAAACGTAAAGAGGTGTTTCTTCAGGTTGTAAATTTATGACTGCTTTTACTTCTTTGCAGTGTCTGTATTTAAGAAGTAATTCTTGTAAGGGCAAGTAAAAAAAAAAGTGTAGTCTCAAAAAAGGTTTGAATGTGTCTAAGTAGATGGTGTGGTGTTAAGCTGTTGAAAAATCAATTCTGTGTACACACATCTATGTGTCCAGCAGGCGACCAGCTCTCGCGCTCGGTCAGCAGGGGCTCGGGCATCCTGCTCTAACTCTGATTCCGATCTGTCCCGGGCTGCCCCTGGGCTGCCAATCCCCAGCCTTCTGCCTACAGCGCTGAAAACCCTGTGTGTCACAGTTCCTGTCACCCCAAGATGATGAGCTAACGGTACCACCTTCAGAAATGCACTCGCACCAACCCATCAGGTCCACAGAGAACACGCCAAGCCCAGGGCCCTCGCGCTGCGGCCAACTCCCTGAGAAAGCACGCGAGGCCGCCTGGCGGTGCCGGCCAAGGAAATTGGCTCTGGGGGGAGTTCGTTTATGGAAAACTCCAGAGAAGACAACTTGTAGTTCAGTTTTAACATTATGAAAATTTTCAAACACGGAGAAACATTGAAAGAATCATCCAGGAACACCCTCCCACCAACCCAATTCTATGACTGTTAACATCGATCAACCCAACTATCCATCTTAGTTTTTGTTGTGGTGGTTAATCCTCACCCAAGGATTTTTTTCCCGGTGATTTTTAGAGAGAGTGGAAGGGAGGGGGAGAGACAGAGAGAGAAACATTGATGTGAGAGAGACACATCAACTGGTTGCCTCCCACACATGCCCCGACCAAGGCCGGGGATCAAGCCTGCAACCGAGGTAGGTGCCCTTGACCGGAATCGAACCTGGGACGCTTCAGTCCGCAGGCTGATGCTGTGTGCACTGAGCCAAACCAGCCAGGGCCCATTTATTTTTGATGCATTTCAAAGTAAGTTGCAAACAGACGTCCATCTCACCTTGAACTCTTCCGCCTGCAAATCATTCCCTAGAGTTCATGATTTCCAAGCAACAAAGGCTGGCTCATCACACAGCAACCGAAGCTCGCTCCGAGCAGACGGGATGGTGCCTCCAAACGTGAAGGTAGCTGCTCACCAACGCGAAGGAAACCACCCCCAGGGGCAACACCACGTCTTCCCAGCTGAACCTACTGTAGAAATGTTACTGCAAAGGGCAGAGGAGCCCTGAGGGTCAAGGGCATGGTCAGCCCTTCCACTGACCACGGGTGAGCCCAGGAAGAGGACCGGCCTTTAAGACCCCATGCCAGGGAGGAAAGCATGAGCACCAAGCGCCTGAGTGGGTGGGATGCTGTCCACTCACAGTGAAGGCGTGAGCTCATGTGCTTTGGGGAGTAAGAGCGGAGCGGCTGTCCCACCCCTGCTCTCAAAGCGCATGGCAGAATAGACAGCGCCTTCAAGTGGACTCAGACAACCGCCAGGCCCCGGGCTTCCTGCTAAGTTATCTCCCCACGTCAGGCCTTCCTCCCCTCCTGGCAGCCAGCCAGCGACTCGGTCTTCTGGCTTCCTCCCGATCTGAGGGCTGAGACCTACTGCTTCAACCCGGCTCCAGCCCCGCCCCCACTCGCTCTGATCCCCGGGCTAGTCCTCCTCCGCCGTCCTGGGGGCTGGCTGACATCCTCTCACCACGCTGACCGCTGACCGTCTCCCACAGACACAAAGCAAGGAAGGGCCGCCCGTCACAGAGTCAGGAAGGTCCCCCAGGGAGCCACGTAGGTGGGGAGCCATGTAGGTGGGGAGCCATGTTATTGATTTCAGAGATGGTAAATGGACAGAAAAGCACCACGTGGGCAGGAAATACATTTATTCCTCCTCTGCTAGTAAAAGCAACCAAAGCCAATGTCACGTTTTAGGAAATAGTGCGCCTGCCAGGCCCGGATTGGGTCTTCTTCCAGGGAAGGAGCCAGCAGCCCTTTCTGCAGCCCGCCCCCCAGAAGGACAGACGCTGTAACGTGCTGAAGGCCGCACGATGGCAGGTTTGAGAGACCGAACCAGAGCCCTGCCTCAAAGGCCCCGTTAGCCCCGTCTGGCTGGCAGATGTGTCTATTCCAGCCACATGCAAGGGCCCCCCGAAAATCAGGGGGCTCCTTCCTCACCCCCTATGTCACCTGCCCTGAAAATCCTTTGTGCTCCGCCTCCTCGGCCCTCCCCCTCCTCTAACATCTGGCACCACCGATCTTACTGTCTCCATAGTTTTGCCTTTTCCAGAATGCCATGCAGCTGGGACCATACAGTGTATGTGGCCTTTTCAGGCTTGGCTTCTCTTAGTCGTGTACATTTAAGGTTCTTCCATGTCCTTTTAAATATATATATATATTATTGATTTCAGAGAGAAAAGGAGAGGGAGAGAGAGAGAAACATCAATGATGAGAATCACTGATCGGCTGCCTCCTGCACGCCCCCTACTGGGGATCAAACCCCCAACTCAGGCCTGTGCCCTGACTGACCAGGAATCCAACTGTGACCTCCTGGTTCATAGGTTGATGCTCAACCACTGAGCCACACCCGCCGGGCCTAGGTCCCTCCATGTCTTTTCATGGCTTGATAGCTCGTTTCTTTTTAGTGCCGAGTAATATTCCATCGGCGGGATGGACCGCACTTTGCTGATCCGGTGGCCTACAAAGATGATGACATCTTGGTTGCTCCCCGGTTTGGGCAATGGTGACTGCAGTTCCTGTAGACATTCACGGGTGGGTTTTTGTGTGGACACAGGTTTTTAGTTCCTTTGGGTAAATACCAAGGAGTAAGACTGCGGGACTGGATGGTAAACACATGTTTAGTTTTATAAGAAACTGCCACAGGGTCTCGCAAAGTGGCTGTATGGGATTCTTTTAAAATCAGAATATTCCCCCGGGAAGGGCAAGGACGAGGGGCCTGTTTTAAGGGATGCCCAACAGGAGGCGAGAGCCCCAGCGATGCTTCGAGCACTTGGCCCACCTCTCTTGTGGGTTGTGGCTTTCTGCCAGGTCATGCTAGGATTACACATCTCCTCGCCTCTATCAGAAGATAAGCTTGCTGGGGGCCGGGCCTACTATACACTGTGGCCCCTAGCCCACAGCAGGTACCAAGCAGCACGGAACGCACTCAGAGCCAGAGCTGGGGGAGGGAGGTCGGTCTAGCTTCAGGGAAAGGTAAGAGAAGGTGCAGAGAGGAAGGCCAGAGGCATGTGTGCAACTGTGGGATGATTCATGTGACGGCGATGAGCCAGCTGGGAGAAGGGGTTGGAGGCACAGAAACTCCAGAGGGGGCCCCTGGGACATGGGAGGGGCTGGGAAGTGACCCTCTGAGCCAGGGAGGGAGTGAGGTGCCCGAGAGGGGAACAGAGAGACACTGCACATCTCGGGCAGCAGGCAGGGCTGGCAGAGAGTCCAGGGCTGTCACCAGCCCACATGGCCCAGGCCTGTGTGCTGCATTTGGGCGAGTCAGGGCCTGGGCAGCCGTCCGGAGCCTTACACACAGACTTCCATGGGACAGAGAAGGAAAAACAGCACCGATGACAAACGCTCCTAACACTATGACTTACTGTCATGCAATGTCCTCTAGGAGCCGGAGCACCCTAACAGGCCTTCCTAAAGCTCCCCACTCACCAGAAGTAAACAGGACGTCTCATTCCTGAGGGAACGTGACATTTTATTATTAATGTTGTCATCGCCACCCTGGTTATTGTTTCGGCT